TTGGAGTCTTTAACTTAAACATCAGCTAATGGTGCTTTTTGGATCATCGCCAATCAACGATAAAATATGCAAAATTGACATATAGCATAATGGCATAGAGCTGAATGTTACGATTAGTAGCAATTTGCTGAACTTCAGTAATCACAAGCTGGATTTTTCTATCAGCGATTTTTCTAATTATTACTCCTTTCATAATAAAAAGTAAAACAATAAGAACTTGACTAAAGACCATGGATATTATAAGACTTTGAAAATATGGTGTTTCATGTTGTTTAATTGTTTCTATTATTTTAATCCATGGTAGGTGTTTGTAACTATCTGTGCAAAAAATATGGACAAATGGATATTCATTTTGGTCAAAAATGGTGACTTCATTGAAGATCGTTTGATCTATAATTATTCAGCGAATTGAATGGCACCTGTTTCAGGAATGATCATCATAATTGGTGGGTTTTTAATTCACTTTCAAATAAATTAAGTAGATTCGATATCGCAAACCCAGACCATTATATATACTTTTATTGAAAATGAACTTAGCTTTGTAATAATTGATCATTCATTCCTGACTCTAACTTTTCCCAATTTTTTTAAAATACTTCAAATTTTATTCAATTCTTAACTAAATATCAGTTCAATAATTATTTTTAAATCTTTAACTGATTATTTACTCTATCATTAAATTTCACATTCAAATTAAACGCAAGTTGATCGTTTGTAATCGAATAAGTCTTCATTTCCTGCTTGTTTACTAATTAGTCTGGCAGAAGCTCTTTTTTGTATTTGTTGCCTTTAGGAATTTTTTGGTAGATGACATCAATTAAGTCTGGAAAGAATCCTGGTGTGAAGTTCAGTGAAAAATTAACCATAGCATTATCATGGCTACCATTGTATCAAAATTATTAATTTATGTTCATTTAAAGACTTTCATTTCCTATTCTACAGTCTGCACAACTGACTGAATATTTTCGAATGACAATAAATTTCACGAAAACTCTTCCATTATTGAGAAACCCTAAGGAGAATCGTAAAAATGAATGAATGTTATCTAGTCTTCGTAATTTAGGAATCATTTATTTTAATGATTTTATTGAGCTCGCAGACATATGAAATGTTCTCTGTGAACTAAAAATATTACTTTAGTTAAAGTAGGGCCCGACTGTCAATTGGTTTGGAAAAATTTGCGAAAACCCAAAGATCTTCATTATCTTCAGAGTTTACTATAAAATTTTTCATTCTCACAGAAGATGAGAGTAGTATGAAGTGCAGCAAATCATCTTATAGCAAATCTAATCAAAACTATATCTTTGATAACGCACTTGTAAATGAGTTGAATTTTAAAACTGAACAAAATAGAACCCGAAAAGCAACGGATATTTTTCAATCTTCACCTCTTTCAGCTTAATACTATGAGCTTCTATTTGGTAATGACAAACCCTAAGTTAGAGCTTCTTTTAAAGTTGCACGAACTAAGCTTTTATTAATCTTATAAATTTCTCATTCGCCTACATTAAGGTTATTGTAAATAAACTTAAAAAATGTGAGGAAAAGGATGTCGGAATTAGAAGTCGGACTCAGGGAGATGCAAATGTGCACATTAATGTGATCCCCTCCCCCTCCTCCCCCCCCCCCCCCCCCCCCCGAATCTCAACTACATGTTTACATTCGCGTTATGAATCTACGGTACTCAGAGATGAGAAAAGTAAGTGCAAAGAGCATGTGGATGTTAATGAATAACATAGTGGCGCAAGATGAACACAGAAAGGATATTTGTTGTAAACAGCATTATTTAATTCAAGCGAATTCACTCAGTATTTTAGGCTGTTTTAAACCTACTACTAATAAGTTGATAGCAGAAAGTACAATAAAGCTTTGGCCAAGTGAAGAAAAAATTTTTCATTAGACGGACGATAGACATTTATTGTGCTCCCACTTTGTAATGAAACGAAACTATTGGATTCGTTTTTTAACTATTGGCCTAGATCAGTTATTTAAATTGAAAAATTTCTGATTTACTACTGCAGACTTGACGATTGTATGCCTAGAATTTTTATGATAAAACGAATGCATCTGTTTAAAGGGCTCATATTCACGAAAAGCATAAGCAGGCTAAAATTAGCTTGAACTGAGACCACAAAGGAGCCAGCAATACGATTGTTGAAAAGTTATTACTATCTTGCAGCAAATAACGCTATTTCAACATCTGGAACTTCTACGGATTTTCCCATAAATTGCAATCTTCGAATAAACTTTCGAACTATGCTTCTAAATCCATTATTTCATTTCCACTTCGGAGTTTCTCATGTCTGTTGCGTGTATTTTCAGTATGCGTTGCTCACAAACTGAGAGAAAACATTTAAAATTGACTGCGGTTTAAAATAATAATAGACTAATAGACAGTCAAGTTTGAAGGTTAAAATCATTCAGTGAGAACACAATTTAATTGTTCCCTTATAGTCAAAAGGCGTAAAATATGATATGGATTGAGAATAAGCTGGTGTGTTGATAAATGTTTTGTCAATGAAAGAGAAAATGTTAAAATACCCTTAAAATTTATTTCTTGTAGTTTGATGCGCGTTATAAGTGTCATCCAACACTATGCATTTGCCATATGTCGAGTTGTTTCAAACATACAAATTTTGTTCTGATTCCCATATTCACAAAAGCAATGGTTATATCCCTGATGGGCAGCATTCATTAATGTAAAGTTAAATCTTCATATCGAAGACATAGATTAAACATATTGATTAAAGAAATCTTCAAAAATTCAGAGTTTCATTATTTTTACTACCGGGATATGCAACTGTGTGCATATGGCTCGCGTGTATGGTGCATTCGAAATGGCTCATTCTGTATGGGGAGAGTCAAGCTTCAGTCCCAGATGGAGAAAAAGCTATAGGACTGTATTTTGACTTTTAACCCCAAGTAACCTCCCATCTGGACTTTCGCTGTTTGTTTTAGTTGTGTGTATTTGCATTATTTAGCTAGCCCCGGGGATAATGATGATTTAAACTAATATAATGCCTACGAAGCGAATTCGTCGATATGAAAGCGATGATGAAAAGGTTAAGGAAGCCATCAGAAATCAAGTTCAAAATGAGACAAATAGAAAGTTAACGCATAACAACCTCCGGTCGAAAAGTGAGAGAGTAAGCAGAAAGAATGGGAAAATATCCCACCAGAAATTCCGAAAGAAAATAATAAGCAGAAGAAAGTCAAATCGAAGAAAGATCGAAAACGCTATGACTATGAAAGCGAAGAATATGCTGGCTAAAATCATCGACATGAGCACTAGCCGAATTAACCAAAATTAGAAGTGGGAAATAGGAAGGAGATAAATATTTGCAATAAACTGGCAACGAAACTTCAACTATGATCTTCCAGTGGTGTAACTATGTCTGAGCAGAGGAGCAGTGCGCGCGGAATTATTCGTCCTATGTTGGCAACACATACACACACACACACACACACACACACACACAACAGTACACGTCGTGCCTTTATTGGCTTCATCAAACTCTTCTAAGCAATGTGCTTGATGACATAGTTAATGAGAACACACATAAGTACGAAATTCACTGCAAGGTTCGCACTTAGGTAAAAAACAACTGATAATCCCCTAATTCAATTACTTATGCTTCCAGAGGGGAGAGGCTGTTGATACAATTACTATTACCAAAAGTTATATATAATGCAAAATAATATAGGCATCCTTAATGGGTTGAAAGTGATGACTTTTACAGATATCCATAAGTATTAAAACACAAATTCTTCTGCAGAACACTATCCGATCGTGGATGCCTTGTGATAGGTAAAGCCTGACACTAAATTAAAAAGCTCCACAATTTCGATGTATCAATATAAATTAGGTTTCCATTATTTTTAATTTGCTGAAATGTATCTAACTATGGGGTGCATAATAATATACCGAAAATCTTTTCCAAAAAGGCGGGGGAGCCACAGGTAGAAAAAGTATATGTTGTTATATGGAGCTCATTTTAGTTTCAGTAGATTGGTTGTATTTTATTAAGAAAATGAAATTAGTAGAGAACATAAGTTAAGATGGCTGATCTGAAGAGTCTCGTGTGTGATAGAGCTATATGGAGAGTGCATCCGTGGTACAATTCACATTAGAGGGCATATGATGTCACTAATGAAGACCTCTCAGACAATCAGCAATCAATAGTTATTTTAGGGACAGTGTGGCCAAAGCGAAAGTTGATAGCATTATGGCCATTACAGACTCAATAAACGTCATACGTTCAGTTTCCTGAAGGATATTTTCAGATCATGCAACAAATTGGGAGACAACAACTAACAGAGCATTTAATTTTAAGCAACAGAAAAGCCAGTAAGGTTGAAATACATGGCAAAGGCAGCTTAAACGGCAGTAATGTGCCAATCACATGTAAATATCGCTGCCTAGGACAAGCATTTTCAAGGAGACAAGCTCCAAATGCAAACCGAATGAGCCATTTAAGATCGAACCCTGATGTAATACGATTTAAAACTAAATATATAGGCTGTGCAGAGGTTAACTTGCTTATCTACTAAATCGTGTGACCGATACCCTCAAAGGGCTATGAACTGAGCGGAATGATCAATACCATCTGACTATCCCTACACAACTAGAGGCCTTGTGACGCCGATCTTCCACCCAAGGTAAGCGTTAGGAAACGCTTGCAGAATTGGACTTCAGTGTTTGCTTAAAAATTCTGTAACATCATAGAAGTCCTATATTAAATTCGTCACGAAACATTGCAAATAATTATCGTTAAACTAATATAGTAAAACTGTGCAAAACTTCACAAACCAGCCATTTTGCAAAACAATTAGAAAGAAATTCCACAATAGTTTTTAAGCAATTCAGCCCTTATCACGATCAGTGGCATATAAATCAAAATATGAGAAAATAAATGTATATGCATATATGAACAAGGAAGACGGACAAGCGTATGTAGAGAAAAACCACAAAAGGAGACGATCTCGTCGCGTGTTTATATTCATTCTAGACATCCAGCGGCCGCTGCTACAACACTGGGATTTGCCAATTCCTCACCCAAGGCAGCCAAGATCTCCCGACGGTAGTCCTCGAAGTCCCCATCGATCTCATTAATGCCCAACTCCTCAATAATCCACAGATTGCAGTTGGTATCACGAATGAGTCTCTCGTCGTGACTCACCACAACTACACCGCCCTCAAATTCATTTATCGCAACTGCCAGGGCATCAATGGACTCAATATCGAGGTTGTTCGTAGGTTCGTCCAAAATCAAAATGTCCGGCGAGCGCCTAGAGAGCTCTGCAAAGGCCACTCGAGACTTCTGCCCACCAGAGAGGTCCGCAATAGGAATTGTATGCGCATGGCTCTCCAAACCAAATTTGCCTAGAGTGCTGCGTGCATCCTAAAAAGAGAACAAAATGACGGACATCAACCCAACAAACTATCTAGTAGTTTAGTGAACCCACTAACCTGATAGGGCAAGTTGAAGAGTCGCATGAGGTACTCAGCAGGTGTCTCTGCCAGATTCAACTGATCCGCCGAGTGCTGGTCGTACTTACCAACCTTGGCCCGATGGTTCATCCTTCGCTCCCCAGTTACCGGCGATAGTTCACCCGTGAGCAGCTTGATGAAGGTGGATTTGCCCACCCCGTTTGGACCCACAATGGCAACGCGAGTCTCCAGATCCACACCAAAGTTCACATCCACAAATAGGGGTTTCTGACCTGGATACCCAAATGTGCAGTTGTATAGGCCTAGCACCGGCGGATTCAGAGGTGGCGGATTGGGGAAATGGAACTAAAAAAAGAGTAAACGAGAGTGGATCGATGAATAAGATAGAAGTTTAATGCAAGCACAAGAACCAACCTTGACAACGTATTCCTTTGGCTTTTGGATGAGCTGTTTCTTCCTGTCCGCAGCATCAATGTCCGTGGCATTATTCGTGGTCCCCTTCGATTTGGCCTGCTTCCGAGTAAGAACTTCTCGCTGATTTTTCGCTTGCGCCTGTTTATTGCTCATGCCAGACTGCTTTAACTCCTTCAATCGTCGCTCCTGTTTCTCGTATTCCTTTAACTGCTCACGACGCCTCTGAGCCAACATGGACTTGAAGCGACCTTAGAAAGAATAATTAAGATGATACTCTTTACGCATTTTAAGAAAACACAACAAACGTGAACCATCCAAACACACCATAGTTGCCACGATAATAGAACAGCTTCTGTTGGTCCAAATGAATTATGTCGGTACAAACGTGATCCAAGAAGGATTGGTCATGAGAGACAACCAAAAGTGTCTTTTTCCAGGACTGTAGATAACTGAAGAGTAAGGGAGGCAATGAGTTTGATTGCACCAACAGAAGACAATATAACGAAAGTGAAGACTTATATCTTACTTGTCAAGCCAAATGACAGCATTTAGATCAAGATGGTTTGTGGGTTCATCAAGAAGAAGAAATGTGGGTTCAAGAAAGAGGGCTCGAGCTAAACTCACACGCATTCTCCATCCACCTGAGAGGTCTTTGGTTGGCTTCTCCATCATTGCCGTCGTGAAGCCCAAACCCGCCAGAATACGACGCGCTTTACCCTCTGCCGCGTCCGCTTTCATGGCAAGCAATTCCTCGTGCACCTCGTTATACCGATCCAGCACATCTGACTCGTGTTGAGTCTCAATCTTCACCTTCAAATCCTCCAACGTCTGCATCAACTTCAGACGCTTTGTGTCCGAATTCAACACCACCTTTACAGATGGCGTGTCATCAGCTATCACCTCTGCACGGGGGACACAGTTAAGAGAATTTAGTCAACTAAATAAACTGCCTTTCACAAAACAATCCATTACACATACCCTGTTCACAGAGGAGAATATCGATATTTGCCGGAATGGACAGCTTTCGTTCAGCAATATGACGCAAAAGGGTCGTTTTCCCATGTCTACGCAAGATCGCCCATTTTAAATAAGTGTTAACAAGTCCAAAAGACACAGTGCAGTATGGACTTACCCGTTGGGACCACACAGACCGTAGCGGCGTCCATGTGTAATTTGAAGATCAGCGTTGACAAACAGCTCTTTACCCCTTGCAGAGATTGAAAAACCCTCTACTTTGATATCCAACTGATTATCGTTTGCCACCGTCTTTCCCGCTGCCTGCATTGGGGAAATGCGTTAGGCGTTAGCCATAATAAAGTAAGATCAAACAATATGAAATCTAGAGAAATTGTGCTCTTGCCTGCGAGATGGCAAAGTTGTCCAAGGTGCCAGCATTGGCAACTGCTTTCTCCAGTGCGCTGTCAACCATCTTAGAAAACTCTTCTCGTTTCTTCATCTTCTTGAGTTCCTTTTTGGAAATTCTTTCCCCTTTCTTCACAATCGCCGTCTTCGTCTCCGTTTCATTAACAACCACTTCCACTTGAGACTTTTCCTCGTCTCCTTGAGGAGCGTGCTCCATTTCCATTCCCATTTCATATTCTTCAGCCTTCGAATGAGCAACACTGTCCATTTTAACCTCGACTAAATCCTCCACTTTCATGTCATGTTCAGCTTCTTTAATTTCTTCATCATTACAATTATCTCGGTGGTCGGAGGCAAAACATGCCTGTTCTTTGGCCATCTTCGCTTGATATTCCTCATCAACTTTTAATGGCTCTGGCTGGGCATCTTCGTCAGCTGCACCAAGCTTCTTATTCTTCTTTGGCTTGACCTTCTTTTTCACTGAGTACTGATCTACTTCAATAATTTCATCCTCGTTATCCCCAACTTGCAGACTAGCAAGTCTCTCTTGAAGCTGTTTCTCTTGATCAGAACTATCCCATTCGTCATTATGTCTTCCCTTTTTGCCCTTCTTCCCAGCCTTCTTTTTGCAACCAGTATTTGGATTCTGCTGTTGCTGTTGTGCTACCTGAGCTTTAGGACCTAGGCGACCAGACTTGCGCTTCTTTTGATAGAATTCCTCATCCACATCATCATCGTTGATTTCTTCCACTTCAAAACCAACTTGTGGTTTGGAATCTTCTTTGATTTCATCAACTTGTTTAACCTGATCCACATTTACGCCAGCTTCTTCTTCACTTTCATAGTCATAGCGTTTCCGATCTTTCTTTGACTTGACTTTCTTCTGCTTATTATTTTCTTTCGGAATTTCTGGTTCGACAATTTCCTGATCTTTCTTCTGGTTATTTTTTCGCTTTTCGGCCGGAGGTTGCTTTTTGGTTAACTTTTTCCTATTTGTCTCATTTTGGGTTTGATGGCTAATGGCCTCCTCAACCTTTTCATCATCACTTTCGTATCGACGGTTACGTTTTGGTGGCATTGGCAAAGTTGAATATTTTAACAAATTCTCTCAGACAACGAACTGCACGAGAGATCAGCACCGATACACATTAGCCTATTTACTTTAACTCGTTAGACCACGTGTTGCAATCGTCAAACAATGGAATTCGAACTGCATATTAATATATCTTATTTCAAATAAATATTCAGTCTCGTATTTAAATTAAGAATTTTACGGGAGATCTTAAAAATTGCTTTTAAAATATATACCATTTGTGGTTTCTAATATGTTAATTTCCCATATCCATTCTATTTACAAGTAAAAAGTGAATCACTTGATTGAAATAGTTAAGAAACAACTGCAGAATAATAAATACATTGAACTTGTACATTTTGATAAAATTACTTATATGACGAAACTTGTGATGATGGTCACATTTCAGCTATTTAACATGCCAACATACGTTGCTTCTTCTATATATTCTTTAGTAACTTAATGAAGACTTTCCCAAAATTCAAATTATTCTATTGATTGAATAACGTGATCTTCGCTCTTTTATAGACATATTTTTCATCGCTAATAACACTAATAAACATAGAGCTAGGGTGCCTTTTTTAGGGATAAGAATAATCAAAAGCATGCTACTAAATATTGAATAATATTTCACGTCATTATATATCGCGAATTTATCTACTAAGGGAGTATGAAAATCGAGTAATATCTAGATATATGCAGGTAAAATACTGCAGTGTCCACAATATTCGTCTTTATTGTCTAATGAAATTCGTCCGATTTGAGAATTTACTGAAGATGTATATCCCATTTATTTGCTTCTATAGTTGCGTTTTTATGGTTTATGAACATTGGTGGCTCAATATAGCTGCTGGACCGATAAAAAACAGACATATTTGTTGAAGTCATTTATATCGTTAGGTTACTACCCATTTGACCGATTGGTCATTCCTAATTGTCCATAAGAACGCATAAGAAATGTTATTTCTTTTGTCGTCGGTCATGTCCTGTGTGATCGTGGGCATGTATGTTGGTAAATGTGTGCAACCTAAAGAATTCACATAACGAACTGTTATGAGTTTTGAAGGCGAGAGCTAATAATCGGAAAATAAATTCAGATTTCCAACTATTTACAAATATCGGTTGGCAATGACATGAACATATAAAACGGCTAGAACAATATTCCTTGCAAATTGACTCAGAATAAAACGCGGCTTAATTCAATATATTTAAGGATAAACAGAGATTAACAAAGACAAAACTGAAAAAATACATAATTTAGACTGACTCAAGGTCTGTTGTGCTTCAATCAATTGATTGGGAAATGAATAAAAATTTTAAATAATAAATCACAAAAAATAGTTTTATTATCGCATAAAAACACTTAACCTTTAAATTTAAAGCTCTGTTTTATTACGTTTCAAATAAACTACGTCATTTGATATATATCACATTGTAATACAACATAATAAATATAAATATATATAACCGTATAATAAACCATAAGAATTGTTTAAGACAAATAGATTTCATAAAAATAAATATGAACATTGTAGTTTTAGCCATTCAGAGCGGCTTTTATATATAGACCATTCAAACAACAGTAAATTTGGTCCTGCGTTTTGATAGCCATCAGCTTAATTTGAAGATGAATCTCGAGTCTTCAACTGAGCAAAGCACTGAAGATAACGGAACCCCGTTACGTTTCATAACTCATCAACAAGAGCGTAACCGTAAAAAGAAGCTTCAAAAGAAGCTTGCCAAAAAAAGACGGCGTGAAAAAGCTAACATTAATGATCCCTCACAAATTACCGAAGTGATATCTAGTTTTTCGAGCGAATCTTCCTCACAAAAGGAATATCCTCACTTTGAATTGACAGGCCCTTTCGAGCGTTTTAAGGTATTAGTTATATTGAAGAATTTTTAAGTGCGTGATTTCGTCTTTCCTCATGAATTCTCCTTCGTAGATCGATTTGGATGGGGAAGAGGGGGAAGATGGGAGAACAGACGGCTTAAAATCAGATTTTGCTAACGGTGGTCTTCCAGGATCTCGTCCTCATCAACCAAGCTTGAAGGCAAGGACTGCTGCCCTCTTAGCAGAAGAAGCCGCGGCTCGTTCAAAGAAGCCGGAAAAAACAGGCTTTGACGATGATGATGGTGAAGGAGATGGGGCAAACAAGGAACCACCATTGAGCAAAAAGAAGATGAAATTGCTTAACCGTCCTACCATTGCGGCTTTGAAACAGGCTGCTGCACGACCAGATGTTGTTGAGATGTGGGATGTCTGTGCTAAGGATCCACACCTTTTGGTTTATCTCAAATCCTATCGAAATAGTGTCCCAATTCCACGGCACTGGTGTGCGAAACGAAAATATCTTCAAGGAAAAAGGGGCTTTGAGAAACCTCCCTTTCGACTCCCCGAGTTTATTGCTCGTACTGGAATTATGGAAATGCGACAGACTGTCTCTGACAAAGCATGTGGAATTTTATTAAGAAATAGTTTTTTTCTTGTTCTTTAGTAACTTATGTTAATTTTTAATTTCAGGATGCAGAAAAATCTCTGAAGACCAAGATGCGCGAGAAAATTCGACCCAAGATAGGCAAAGTTGATATTGACTATAGAAAGCTGCATGATGCTTTTTTCAAGTATCAGACAAAGCCAAAATTGACTGTCCATGGGGATCTTTACTATGAAGGAAAGGAATTTGAAGTTAAATTAAAAGAAAAAAAACCTGGAAACCTCTCTGACGAAATGCGCACAGCTCTAGGACTTCCCGTAGGCCCTGTAAGTTCGATTATTCTTTTTATAAATTGCCCAATCTGTACCTGAACTAGAAAGCGGGCATATGGGGTTCTCTTATTGAAATTTCTTTTGAATCTCCCTCTCTCCAATTACTCTTTGTTGGTGAATATCGTCCACTATCATTTAATTACTGATTAATCACTTAGGCTGGTTTTGCAACCTTAAACTTGAAGTTAGTAGTTGTCTAATCGCACGGAGTATTTAAGTACGAATTCCTTTGTATGGTGTATAAAATATGAATAGCAATTCTCGAAAAGTTAGTCTCAAACCACTAGGTAAATGCTTTGAGTCTGAGAATAGAGTGGTATCAATTTTTAGTTTTACTATTCCTAACTACTTGTCGTATCCATTGTATCCATAGAATGCGGATCGTTACCCCCCGCCCTGGTTGATTGCAATGCAACGGTATGGTCCACCACCCTCCTATCCTAACGTTGTGATTCCGGGTTTGAATGCTCCTATTCCACAAGGGTGTGCCTTTGGCTATCATCCGGGTGGTTGGGGCAAACCACCCGTGGATGAGGTTGGTCGGCCCATATACGGTGATGTCTTTGGTAATGGCGGCAACATGGCTGGTGTCCCACCACCTCCACCACCCACAGGGACTTTGGCTGAACCAGAAGAGGCGATTATCTCTGGTCTGGGTAAAGGAGGTTTGTGGGGCGAATTAGAGTCAGAGGATGAAGAGGATGAAGATGAAGGTTCTGATGAGGAAGAAGAAGAATTGGGCGGTGAAGGTGTCGACACGGAAGCTACTGGAGAGGCTCCTACTGGAGATGACATCACGATTGCCGGGGATGCTATTCAACCTATTGAGAAAGTCAATGTGGATTTAAGTGGTTTAGTCACTCCTGCTTCTGGGTACGTTTACGTTCGTTATAACCAATCAAGGCTTGCACCTACAATCCAATTTATAAGTCTATTTTCATAGTCTTTGAGTAAATGTGACTAAATTGGATTATGACGCCGGTAGTGGGCTGCTGTTGTCACTAAGCTAAGTGAAGTGAAAAAATTTCCCCTTATAATAATTACGCGTTTGGCTTGTGGACAAATGCAAAATTTTGAAGCGTAGGTGGACGTGTTGTAGGGAAGCCATGGAATACGAGCTTCACGGTCGGAGGTACCTCAAATTGCTTGCCCCTTTTCCCAAGTTGTATATCTGAAAACCACTTGATATACCTTCGTCAAAATTTAAATCGATTTAGCCTGCGAATACCTACCACATGTCATGTCGTGTTATTGTTATTTTCGTTCATTGAAGTAAAACCTACGAATCGTACTATCTGAGTAATGAAAACAGCGTAAAACGGGTTGAGAAATTGGTCTGGAAGATGTATCTGCTAGGATAATGGAAGACTATTCTGGGCACAATAAGTTATGTTCTAAATGGGAGTAAATATCAGTGCAATTTCTCTAATACAACTTTCGGTTTCCTAGGTATGGTTATATCCACTATAACGAGAGCTTTCTGATTGCTTGGTTTAATTCTTTGGTCATATGTGATGACACTTAATTGGGACTGAGTGGAAGATGAGGCAAAAGGGACAAATTATTTCTTACACATTAATGGTACACTTTGGACCGTTTGTCTTCTAGCCTGATAACACCTGCTGGTGGTGTGGTATCAAGTGTGATTGGCGCAGAGAGCGTGGGAGCAGTAGCGGCATCAGCTAACACTGCCAACATTGAATTGCGCAAACGCAAGATTGAGGCTGCTATGGACAATCCGAGCGGATTCGAAACCCCAACTCCCGGTACTGGTCTAGCCGCTGGCCAACTTTACCGTGTTTTGCCCGAAAAAGAGACTGCTTTACAACCAGACGCCATGTTGGCATCAACTCGTGTCTACGATGTCGCCCAAGTTACAGGTGCAACTCACGAAGAGGTTTGTGTTTCCGTCTACTTTTCATTTTTATTTTGCTAACAAACATGATTACTAAATAATTTGGCCTTCCTCGCTACTAATAATTTAGTGACATCGTTATAAATCGGTTGAGTGGTTGAGTTAATTGGTTCGAATTGATGCTCTTAACATTTACCTAATTTCTTTTGAATTTGTTTTATGTCAAGATATGGAAACATTTTGGTATGAATTTGGGACATTGACTCTACGAAAAAGCATGGAAGATAAGGAAAAGCGGTAGCGTTGATTCATAAATGAGTTAAATAGAAGATCCGGAGTTAAGGAAATAAGTTTCGAGAGCGAAAGATATTCAAATCGCTTATGAATAAGTAACAAATAGGTTTTTTCATACCCCTAAGTTATCACAATTTCAACGTTTTTTTCTTTTTAGGCTGACGATCCTCGTGAGAAAATGCTTCGGAAACGTTCTTCAGGCACCGAGTCTGAAAAGAAGTCTGGAACAGCATCTAACGTGGTCACAACCAGCCAACCACCACCGGCCAAGAAGTACAAGGAATTCAAATTCTGATTGGCCATCTGTCAGTTTGTATATACATTGCATCAATAAGTCTAATAAAGTTTTCAAGTGCCATTTATACTCCCTCCTTTCCAAAAATTTCGTTGTTTAAGTTTTTTAAATAAAGTGCGTTCTATCCCTCTCCTGAGCTTTTACATAGCTTTGTAGGAATCAAGTGCATAAGAATTAGTTATGGTGTTAAGAAAGCAAAGCTTTATAATATGCATTGGTTAATACGCTCCTGTTTCGGAATTCAGTCTCGTCACTTGGTAGTTATCACCTAACCTACGTTTCCCTAACCAAGAATTCCATGACCCACATGTCGGAATTATTTCACCACAAGCAAATGGAAGGTAAATACTGCTACTAATTCCTCACTTGCGTTTTAGTAAGTTCAAATTAGTAATAGAGAAAATGCTTATTTGTTGTTACCTATCTTCTAAATAAGCAACTCAATTGTTAGTTATCCTAACTTGCTTCAAGTCAACTAAAAGTTGGATTGAATACTTCGATGGGAGGGAGTAAATGAGACAGTAAAATATTTTTAATCACCACAGTTATGTAATTTCTAATATTCCTGATAATTAGAAGTGTCTCTTCTTTTTGTTTTTTGAGGAGTAAATCAAGAGACTGGTATTAGGAGCGTAGTTTTTGAGTATTGAAATATTGAGTTTGCAATCTAACCAGCGTTCCAGTTATTAAATAAATAGGTAAGAATATTTCACTCAAGTAATTTTCGAAGAACTTTTCTGAACTAAGTGGAATGAGACTGCCGAGTTGGCCATTCGATCTCTTACCTTAAACGGGCGAAAAGGGCAAGGAAAGCGAAAGAGAAGGCAGATTCAGATTCTTATTTTCCTTTATTTTTACCTTATAATTTAGAGTAATTGAGCGTTAAGGGTGGATAAGCTAAAAGGAAAATAAGCTTTAACTAGATATGCCATGGCGGTAGATCTCTAATATGAAAGAATAAAGTTCTTATTATCACTTATTTATTTCATTTGATCAAAAGAAATGGCCAGTTATTGGTTCGCGTTAGAGATGCAATTTGGACGTAAAGGATATAGAGCTCAGCAGGTTAAAGTTACCAAATGTGGAGTTGAGCAAAATATGAGGATGGCGTCCTTGATAAGCTAAGATATCTCCAGGCTTCGAGTTGCAGTGACCCTCTCTAATCTTAACATATTCGGGGTATGCGATAGACTTACCTCCACGTATACTCATACGTCAAAAAGTCTATACAACGATAGTTGACTTCTGACTTCAAACTACCATGACCCGACTATATGTCGTGCTCGACCACTTCCACAGTACTCATCGCACCCTTTCTCCTCCTTTGTGTCTGTTTAATTCTTTCACATCTGTGAATCACTCTTCTGTTCCCCACCCTTCGACTTTCTGTTATTTTGATGTTCCTTCCCTCTCTGAAGCCCAAAGTCAGCTAAAGAGCTAATGATGACTTTCAAAACGCCCGCCATTTGATACAAATAAATAAATCTTAACAGATTCAGGATGCACGAGGAGTGCGTTAATGGTGGAGAATAATATCCAAGATAGTTACACTAATTCTAGGAGTGGAGATTGGAATTCCTAAACCGTTTCGTGGTCAAATAATTCCCTCTCCAGCTTCAATAGCTTATAGTCAAAATTAATCAGACGCCCTCTAGCAGTTTTAAACAAGTTCGAATTTTACGCTCTTTCAATCTACAGTCTCGTGCGAAGTTCTTCGAAGTTATCAAGAGTGTAAAGAATGTTTCTACATAGTAAATCCAAGGTTAGCTGAGCAAATGAAAATGTGTGATGATCACGAGTCTCAAGGTAGTTGGGGCAGTTAATGTTAGTTAGTAGCAGCAAGGTTTGGGGTCTTGGGGGGGGAGGGGAGGGGGGGAGGCGTTTGACACACGAAGAAAGCTAACTCTGGCATTGTGCGAGTTCAAAACATGGTGGTCACACCACTCCAATCCTCGCTTCAGCTATGCTGTTCATTGGCATGCACTAGGACTTAAACCGTCTAAATCAGCTCATCTTACCTAATTTAGCAGAGTTCATGATTGGAGTTTGTATCTTCTATCCGATGAGGTCATGAATTTCAGCCTACTGAAGTAAGAATTTGGGCAGCGGAGGTATGATGGTGTCAGAGTTATGAAAAACTCTCTACCACTCTCTTGTTAATCACATTTAGCCAGGCCACTTGAGCACTCACACATCTGATGAGCACT